TAATAAACACGCAGGTTAAGATTTAGAGTAATTAAGTTAAAGATGAATATTGCTTGAAACGGTTAAGGGAAAAGAAAAGTTTTCATCTTATAATTTACATTTGATTGATAGAGATACAGTTTCTGGATGATTATCATGCATGAATTCAGTAGTAGCTCAAGTTTCAGAAGGAGATTGGGGTTTCATCGTCCTTCCCATCAAGGTGATTGTTTCAATTGATTGGTAGTTGATCAGATGATGAATTTTAAAATTGATTGTTAAGGTTGTGGGTGCGGTTTTTATGAGTTATCAAGGGTTAGATAAATAACATTAAAAGGGAGGGAATTCCCTGGAGAAGGAGGAGAAGCTGAATAAGGAAGCGAGCTTTTTTATCTCATTTTCGGTATTGAATCAATTTGTTAATCTCTCTCTCTCTCTCTCTCTCTCTCTTGCCATGGTACTATCATGAATGAACAAACTTCTAACTTGAGTAAAGTTGTAAGTTGAGTAGGAGAGTAACAATTAAATGGGTGAAGGAGAGGAAAAAAAGATGATGATGAGAGTGGGAAATAGGAAGTGAGATGATTAAGAATCATCCAAATGAGTTGAAAATGAAAAAAAAATGATTAACCCATGAAAACTCAGTGTTCATTATATTTTAAGATGATCATTAGGATGATAAATATTGTGTGAGGGAGGTGAGATGAAGATGATGATGATAAAAGGATTGGGGTAGATGAAGTAAATATTATTCATGAAATAAATGTAACAATTTACCTTTAATCATGATAAGAGAAAACTTTTATTTCCAATAAAAGAATTGAAAATGTAATGTCCATTAGTATGATTGATTCAAATCCCTTTTCCTGGACATAATATTATTATAATGGACAATGTCCACTCACTCCCCTCTCTAAGACTTACCTTTGTTTTCCCACCTTCACGTTCATGGTGGATTCTGTTAGCTGGTTAGTTAAATAATATTGTTATCATGATATTTAAATTAGTGTCCATTTAATAATAATGATAATAGTTATTTACTTTCATGGAGCAAAATAAAAATTACCAAAAAAATCACAAAGACTCAATAATCAATTTACTCAATTGTATATTGAACCAATCAGTTGATTAATCATCTAGTGTAAATAATTAGTAGTCGGTGTTGAAAATGATATTTTTCAACATGATTAACAATTGATTGTTGATTAATTATTGATCAGTGAATGTATTAGGTATATTATCATTGTGAGAAATACAACTGACATGAGTTGATTGTTATCATCTTGATTCAATGAGGATTAAATTGACTTCTGGTTAATATTTTATCATAAATATCATATTTATTGAATAATTTAATCATCATTACTTGAGTTATCATCATTATCAATTTGATTGTTATTATTATATTTGATTTGATTTGATTGTCTGTGTATGAGTGAGCTTTTCAATTGATGATTTAAGGTAAGCCAAATTCATTGATCTTGTCTGAATGATGATAACAATGCTAATCATGATGATGGCGATGATAAATTTATGTGATAACAATTCACTCCCAGTTCTGCTCCACCCTCGATAACTAATATCATTGTTATCATTTTTTTTTCTCTCCCACTATTGTTGTTTATTTTAGCTGAAGTTCAACATTTATTGCAGCGGGAAACTTTTTTAAGAGTAGGAGGTAAAAGTTTCAGAATCATCATGATAATCACTATGAATATTGTTGTTTAAAAAAAACAAAGGTAATGATTATCTTTGCATGAGTATGATGATAATGATGACGATGGTTAAGTAGGGAGCAGGGAGTTAACTCAGCTATCATCATGGTGATAATAGTATTATTATCATGCTAATGATGATTATTATTATTGTTTCATGTGGTTTAATGTTGGAAAAACTGGAAAATTCAGTGGGAGAAGCAAAAAAAAATCAATGCCTCAGCAATTATCATTCATGATTACGATGATTCCTGGACAGGATATCCAGTTACTTGAATTTCATGTAATCACATGAAATCTGATTTCTAGATAAATGTAAGGTAATTTCACCTCTTGGTGAGTTTACCTTTTTTTTCATGACTATCTTTTTATATATATAACCTGAGTAAATTTAGTATTTGAAACAAAGTATGAATTCATCATGAATCAGATTCGTGATCTAAATGATAATAATAATACAATGAGTTTTATATATATATATATTTCAATGCTCAATCACTGAATCAACTGATTGAAGGTAATTATTATCATCTTCATGATTATCTGTATGATAATCAAGGGATAATTGTCATCATGATAAAACCATTTTTTTTATATCATTTGACTATATGATGATGATTATTATTACCATGAAGGAAAAATTTACCTTAATTGTAATTTGATTGTATTGATTTACTATTTGAATTTGATTGAAAATTTTCAATATTAAAACTTTTGTCTTGATGAAAGTTTTATTATTATTATAATTTCATTTCAATAAGCTGATCATCAGGAATCAATAAACATCCATTACAATTAACCAACTGATTTAATTAGGTTTGTAACTAAAACCAAAAAGTTTAACTGATTACAATTAAATCACTTGGGGAATGTTAAATTGTTACATGATGAGGGAAAGTTAATCGATATGTTTTTATTATTATTATGATGTTTACCATTGGAAACTATTAACAATCAAATGGGTTAACATGATCATAATTATTGGCAATTAAACTGATAAACCATGATGATGATGATAATGATGATGATTGTTGATCTGGTGATGATGATGATTAAGTTAACCAACAAATAGACCCAAGATCAGCACAAAAAAAATAACAAAATCAACTTAAACAAGTTGACTGACTAATGATGATGATGATACCGTTAGATGAGATTGACACAGTAAAAGCAATTGCATGTTACTGTCCAAATTGAAATTACAGTTATAATAGAAAAAGAAAAAACAATTTACTTTTCCTAATTGAATGAAGATGGAAGATGAAAAGAGTGAGTGAGTTAGAGATGATCATGAACTTCCCGGTGAACATGGAGCTGAGTTTTTCTCCCTTTCGTCTTATCTTCATGATGAGTTTGACTTTTTTGTTCGCCTTCGATTTTTAATAGAAAATAACATTTTCCATTCTTTCAATCTAATTCCATGTTTTCATGGTGATGGTTTTTCTCCCTCTATAAGTTGAAATCATTGAACGATCATTTCTATTCTATGTAGAGTTAATTAATTGTAGAAAAAGTTTGAAGTCAAATGATGATTTTCGAAGGTGAAATGGAAAGATAATCCTTTCCTTCAATTCTAATACAATTTTCTGGACTCTTTTGAAATGGAATTGATTGTTATTTGTGAGCATTTTAATTCCTATTGAGAAGAGGAATAGATTATCTTATGTTTCATAGAAAATTAATCCACAGGCAAAGTGACCATTTTTATTGTTAATCTGAAAGATCATGGAAGATAATCTTCATCCTATTTGATTCAGACAATTAAATCACAATCAAAATCAGGTAAACATTTAACTGTCCAAATAAATGAAATTAATGAGCATCAATTTGTTTCCACTCAACTTATCATTCTGACAGTTGATCAACATTGTCAACCGATTTTCATTTGATTGTTTCAAACATATTTAAGGTTAAACTTGTTTTCTAATTATCTTGTTAAAGGAGTCTCAGGGTGGAGGGTGGAGAGTGGGTTTACTTATTAAGATAACACTAACTGTTTACTCAAATCATTAAGCAATTTGAGATACGATGATAACAATATTCCCATTCCCACCCTCATCTTGAAATCCTTTAATCCCATTTCAATCCCTGTATTCCTGTTGGTGTATTAAACTTTTATTGTCATCATCATCTTCCTGTTTCCTTATATCCTTCCCACCTCCCACCTCTCATCATCATTTGCAAGTTGATTCCAGCATTATTATTATATCAATCTAATAACATGGCTGATGGATATACACATAATAGTATACATAAGATTATTCATCTTTCAATTCAATTTAAATGAATGTTGATTTTAAATAATTATTTCCTTCTCATCCCAACCGAAACCATGATAATTTCATCATGAAGATAATGTGAATTGTTTCAAGACAATTTCTGAATCATGATTAGCCTTAATTATGTATGCAAATGGTAAACACATTCATTTGTATTTAAACTGTCAAATTTAGGTTAACATTGTTATATAACTTTTTGTTCATCTCTAAATTGATTCACTTTAAATTATAATTGAATCAGAAATCATCATGATTATCATGATAAGATTAAATTTAATCAAGAGGATTTTTAATGTTAATTTATCTTTATTTTTAATACTTTTATCATATAAACAATTGGATGTACTTTTTTTCTGATTGTTACAGTTTTATTTATTGATTCTCGCCGATGTATTGTCATTAATCATCATGATCATGATTAGATCTGATTATGAGTCCTGGTAAGTTGATTGTCATTGAATTTCAACAAGTGTTGATGATGATGAACTTGAATGCTGGCAGTTTACATTATTTTGTTTTTCTATCATCAACTTTTACAAGGACTCTCGTTCAAAGTTTAGTTGATGATGATGATGATGGAAGATAAAACTTTATATTAAGAGAAAGGGTAAAAAATTTATGTTCATCATGAATCCAGAGTAAGTATGAACTTTTTTTCACTCTCATTCTCGAAATCGGAGGTTCATTAGATCATCAAGCTGAGCATCCTACTGGAAAATCAGTATCATAAAAGGTAACTAACTTTTTTTTCAATGAAAATCAAATGACTTATCAATCGACGCTCATAAATTGAGTCGAGAAAAATTTTGAATGTAAAAAAATACACTCAGAGCTCAGAACTGTCCATGATATCGAAACCTATAGCATCGCTTTTTATATTGGAATTATCATCATTTTCATCGTCTTCATCATCATGATTGAATGAACGTCACTCGCCATATAGATCATGGTGTAGATCATGCGTTCTCAATAATTCTGAAAGAGAGAGAGAGAGAGTCACCTTGTATTTACTATTGAATTTCCTACCACAGTCACTGAGAGAGAGACAGAGACTCAGGGTAAATGTATCACTTTACATGTCTTATCATCTCATCATCTTATCATCATTATTATCAACTTGTTTCATTCAGTTTACCATCTAGATCAACTTGAAACTTTTACTCTGAATTTGATCCACAACAACATGAGATCCACTTTCACCACAGCCACCAATACAAACACCAAGAATAACACAACAATGGCTTGATTTTCATTATTTCCATCATCATGAATCATCACCAAGTGACAAGTTGTGGTCATCATCACCATCGCCATCATCACCCACTTTAAATATTCATTGAACTAGTCATCGTTGTCTTCATACTATTACACAAAGTAACACACTTTCAGCTTTTCGCAATTTAATATTAATTAAATCGGATTTTAAGTGTTGACATTTTATACTTTTAACAACAACAATTTAACTTGATGATGTTTAATACTGTTCAAGTGAGATGACCATTGAGTGACCACTTATCAGGTGTAAATAAATACGAAGGAAAAGTTTCAAAAGTTTTGTTAAGTTTTTGCATTTGTTTAAATTGTTGTTTCTTTGTAAACTCATTCAAATTGTGGTGATTAAAGTTGTGATTATAACGGGATTCCAATTACAAGTAAATTTTAACATATTAAATATAACAAACTCTTAACAATAAGTGACCAGTGTCCACCAGTGTGATCAAACCTTAACCAAAGTATTGAAAAAAAAAATGTTTCTCAACTTGAATATGATCAATCCTGCCAATTTAGTACAATTAATACTGACTTATTATCTAATTCAGGGTAAGTTGAGTATGCAATTAACTTTGAAATGATAAACAATCAAAAATGAAAAGTAATTAAACTAATCAGACATTTGATTGATTTGATGACAATTTAAAAGTGTCACAAAGGATGAAAGCAAAAAGTAAACTGTAAGGTAAAAATTGGATACGGAAAACAATTCATGATGAATTCATGAGATAATACACTGAATTCATTGTGTATTCATATTCATATACATTAACCATGAATAGAGATAATCATCATCATGATATATATATACATTTATATCGTTATCATGAAAATTGAAGCAAAAAAACAATATCATTTACCTTGACTACCGAAAGACTAATACTTTATGATATTAATTGAGTAGGCTAGAGAGTGGGGTGGGAAAATGAAGAAGGGATTTTTTTCCTCCCACTCTGTGTATATCGTAACACTATTAATAACTCCAACTATCACCATTCCCCTCATTGTCATTCAGTATTTAGTTTTCATGGTTTGTTGTTCCTGGTGGTTCATGATTATCTTTACTCTCTGTGATCATCATATAATGATTATCATTATTAGTATTATATCATAATCATCATCATTCATGAAAACGATGATAAGTTTACCTGTAATTTTTGTTAGATATCAATGGTTGATGGTTTGTTTTGTATTTGTAATATTTTCTCTCTCTCTCTCTGCCAGAGACCAAATTGGTTACCTGTTTACGATTGATCATGTTTGATCTTCCCTCTCCGGTGATGCGTGGTGATTCAGTTGAACTTTCATGTATCTATGAACTTGAAAATGATAGATTATATTCAGTTAAATGGTATAAGAATAACGTTGAATTTTACCGATTTGTACCAAGAGATTGGCCTCCAGGTCAATTTTTACCTCACAAAGGCATTCGGGTTGATGTAAGTATCATTAATTTTCGTATCTTTATAAGTCCAAAAACTTTACTATTATTAAAAATATAAGAGTTAAGGTCAATGATGAACAATTAGCATTTTGTTGGGTAACAATTAATGATGTTGATTAAGGGAAAACTCCACGGTGAAGATAGTTGATTGATTAAACTTTTAGATGATCAAATTTTTTTCTCGTCTTTTTTTATCATGGTAACAATTTAAACTTAAAATATTATATTTCCTTTGAAGCATGAGAACAACAATCTAAATTGATTCAAGATTGATTATTTTATTATATCATCAATATAATATATTTATCGTTGATTCCCTTGGGGAGAGACAATGAATAATATCATCATCCTGATGATAATATTTATCATGAGTCAAGATTTTCCTTCCATGAAAGTTTTCTGCTCATTTCTGTTTATTTCATGATACATAGATATTCAATTTCTTAGGTGTTTCCATTTATATATATTCAGTGTCAATTATTATCCCTTTTTCCTTAAGTTCAGTGCCATTGGGAGGGATTCAGGGTGCGTCTGAATTGCAAGTGGAACTTTGATAAAATGTTTCGAATAGAAAATTTTTAAAATTCCATCTCAAGAGATTGTCGAACTTTTTTCTTCTTCTTCTCTTCGAATTAATCTTTCCATCTCAGTATTATCATGATATTCTTGCGAAATGGAGCCATCACTTTGTTTGTCTCTTAATTCTGGTCTCGAATGATAATTAGTAAGGGATAATATTGATTTCTGCGATGGATCGAAATTGAACTTTTCTCCCCTTCCTTGCTCGAAACAATTGATTTCGATATTGAACTTTATTTGCTTCTCTTTCTCTCTTTTTAATCTAATAATTGTTCCCATACAAAGTCAATCTCTCGTCTAAAGATTATTGTTTATAATCAAGTAAAGTGATTTAAGATAATGATTAACTTTTAGCTGAATGCGTAGTTGAATATTGGGAAAAATCGTTCAGAACTTTGGGTGAAATTCTGAATAGAAAAAAACTTTTAAACTCATAACTTGGCTAATTTATCTCGTCTTTTTTATTTTCTTAAAATAATTATCAGCCATTGCATTGTTACATGTCAGCTGAGTTCTATTAAGGAGATTTCTATCAATACTCGCCAAGAATTTCAACTTGTCACCATGGACTAGAATATTCATGTCCCATGATGACAAATAAGTTTAATTTTTTTTTCATTCCAATAGACTGATTTCTCTCTCTCTCTCACTTCCATTAAACTTTGATATAAGAGAGCAAAGTGAATGAAAGTATTACCATAGTTAGCAAGCCAAAGGGAGAGAGAAAAATGAACTTTTTTACCATTCGAAATTGTTTTATATCGATTGCGAGCTGAAAATATAATATATATATTATGTATTATTTATACATATATACAAAAAAAAACAATATCTTATTATAAATATACATTATAAGGGAGTTAAAGTTAAGGCAGAAAATATTATATATTGATTATGATAACAATCAATGAGCACAAATGATAATATATTAATGGTTTGAATAGGAAGTTATATAACAGAAATTATTAGAAACAATAAGAAACCAGAGGAGGAGGAGAAGGAGGTTACGAGTGAAATGATGAACTGTTCATCGATAATGACGATTGGAACGATTAAAGAATATGGAAAATTTCTGATAATTTTTACTCGATAACAGAGAGAGAGAGAGAGAGAGAGAGAGAGAGAGAGAGAGAGAGAGAGAGAGATTTACTGAGCTAGTTGCCTAGTATATTCTGATGATACAATTTTAATACTATTCTTTTTAGCCCACTGGCTTCGTGTTGTTTAAGTTACTCACCATCAATTTTGTGGCTTTTGTATCAGATGAGTTTCCGAATTTTTTTCTTTGCTTTGTTTCTTGTTTCTCATTGCAATGAAATGGAAACAATTGCAAGAAATGAGGTGGAGTGGAAATCAAAGATTGAGAGTTGGAGACGAAAGTAAGAAAATTGAAGGTGATATTGAGGTGGAGGTTGAGGTTAAGGTGGGTGAGAGTTAAGTCAAGTGAAATGAAAATTCAGTGTTGATATTCAAGTCATGTAATAGTGTAAGGGGCTGGTTAAGATGAAGAAAGAAAAGAGAGGCAAAAAAGACAACATGAAAACGGCGGTGGGGTGGGAAAGAAAGAAGAGAAAAATTTATTATCATCTTCTTTCATTCAGAAACTCACTCAATCCTTCTCTTTCTCTCTCTCTCTCTCTCTCTCTCTCTCTCTCTTTCACTGAACCAGAGTTTTCTGTGATTATTTTTGAGTGAGAATATCATGAAATCATCTGATTGAGTAGAAGTGAATCTATCTGTTGGAATAAAAAACTGTGGAAACAAAATAAAAATTTCATATAAGAAAAATATAATAACATATTAATGATATAATATTAATTCACAAATATTATCATCCTGGAATCTTGTGTTATCACTGATTTACATTGAGGCAAAAAAAACTTCTCTTCCTCCTTTTACTTACACAGAATTGAAAATGAAGCCCACTCCACACTCTGACTAACTTGTCAGTGTGTGTGTGTGTCATTCATCACCATGATTGCAAATGCTTGATTCCCGGTAGTGAATGAAACCATATTTATTTTATCATGTAAATCATGAATTCAATTGCATAATCATGATAAGTTTATTGTCTCCACATCATGATGTATTCAAATGTCAACATCATTTCATATTTTTCTACCATCATCAAGTACAACTACACTCATACACAATTACTCTCTCACTCCCTCAGCTCTCTCTCTCTCTCTCTCTCTCTTTGAAGAAACAATAGACTCATCATCCTAATCATCGTCTCCTGAGGTAATATTTAAAGTTGATCTAATTTCATCTTCATCTTACTTTTAGTTGTCAACGTGTACCAGATTATCTTGGATAAGAATGGATTAAGATTATCTGTACAGGTAATTATTAATATATAGTAGCTAGGGACAGGATAAATTTTCTAAATTAGGTCGCTAATGTTACTCTGTAGAGAAAACAATCTTCATGGAGATTCTGAGCTCATGGTTATCATGAATATTAATCTGTCTACTTTTATCATCATTTTTGTGATATTTTCTTTTCATGATAATGATGATGATCGGTTATTTTCCCATGCATAATTTAATGTAGTCTATGCAAACCCACAGAATTATTATATTAGAACTTTTCTTTCCCCTCTTTCTCTCAAAAAAAGAAGGAAAAAAAAACATTTCATCCTTTCCTTATTTACAATAAAGTCCATTTGCTTTTTGTGTATTCCAATCTGATTCTGATTCTGAAAAAATGAACTGAAAAATTTTCCTCATGTTATGTCTGTAACATTTATTGAATAATAATAGTAATGAGACATAATAATAACTAATGGTTTCTAGTTCAGAGTTACCATGTTGCTGTTGTTGTTGTTGTTATTTTGTTCAGTGTGTTCATGGGGATGGGAAGAGGGTGGAGTGGTAATCTCATTTATCATTAGTGTATATGAGGTTAACAATTCCTAACCACATCATGACCAGGAAGGTAAATCTTGAAATTCAATTTAAATTGTAATTCAAGCCACTTCCTTGTAAACAATGTATTCTCATATAATAATAACATTTGGTTGCATGTGTATCATTTTGATGCTCTAAAATGAGAAGTGAACTTTTTAAATTTAGTTTATTCAAAGATGAAAATTTTCTCACATCATTTCCGTTTCCTCTTCTTTTTGTTTCTTTTTGTCTCTATCTCTCTACCCTTTTACCAACAATCAACAGTTATCAAGGTCAGGTAAGAATTCAGTTTACCTGAAAGATGTTGATCTTAACTCAACGGGAATCTATCGATGTGAAGTTTCCGCTGAGGCTCCAACATTTAACACCGCTGAGATGGAGAAGGAGATGAAAGTCTATGGTAAATATTATCCATATTGTATAAAAGAACGAAACTTTTTTTTTACTTTCATGGTGATTAATGATTATATTATCCACTCCATCCTCTTGGATTACCCAAGTTTTACCCTCAGAAGGACCAAAAATTACCGGAACTCGGCGGAAAATTAAACTTGGTGATACAATTAATCCTAATTGTACTTCATTCAAATCCAAACCCGCCTCAACATTAAGATGGTTAATAAATGGTAATGAGGTGAGTTCATCGTCATAATCATTATCTTCAGAATTATCATTTTCTCAGAACTTTTTTCCCTCCCAAAATATCCCACCTTTACTGTGATGTGATATCACTTACGATAGATTATCATCACTTTGGATAATAATAATACTTTGTTTTCGTGTCTCTATGATTATCATAAATGATGATAAAAAATCCATTGTTTTCATCATCATCATCATCATGATACATGATAATATAATGGTTATTATGTATTCAATTCAGCATTTTATCCAGAATATTATCAATAATAAATACTTTGAATGATGATACTCAATCTACTCATGTTAATGATCAATTTATGAGTTAGTTTTTTTTTCATCATAATATTGAGCCAATTGTATTTCAATTGTTACATGTTGATTCTGGTTTATAAAAATTATCAAAGGTTGGAACTGAATATCAAACTTCACATTCAACAACATTACATGAAGATGGTTTAGAATCGTCACATTTGGGACTTAAATTATTATTAAAGGAAGAATATTTTAAAAATGGCCTAATACGAATCAAATGTACAGCAACCATATCACGAATTTATATTATGTCCAATGAGGTCACATTACACGGCGATGGTTTGAGTCATCAATCATCTAGACTTCATCTAAGTGAGAATCTTAGTCAAGGTAAGAAAAGGAAAGAAAACTTATCCGAAAAGTTTTCGAATAAAAAAATTTGTTCTAATTTAGAATTTGAATTATCTTCTAGCCGTTCAACCCTCATCGATAACGAATTGTTTTCAACAAACTAGCTCATTGACGCTTATATCAATTACTTTGCTTAGTTTCCTACTTATATCACAGTTAACAAATTCGTAACTTCGATCAACTAATCATGAATTCAACATAAATGATCAAGTGGTTTTTGTTTCAGTTTTTTTCGTGAAGAAAAAAATAATCGAACCGCCAGAAAAAAACATCGAACGTCCAAAAGTTAACTCGATGAAGCTCAAGCTTAAACGCCGGTGACAAAGTTGATCAACAATCGGCACCAATCGACATTGTTGGTCAAGTGAAAAGTTCATTGTAAACTCTTTCTATCCAACATCATGTTAAACTTTAATTGTTATTATTTATTATTAGCTAAAGAATCAAATTGTTAACAATTAAAAACTTTCTCACGGAACGAATTAAATCAACCAGAGTAAATCACAATCTTTTCGTGATCAACAATCAAAATCGGAAAATTGTCTAATGATTAACAACAATTAAATGCTCAATCTTAAATTCAATTTGGATGGTAAATTTTATCCAACAATCAACAATTTAAAATGACCGACAATTTGATTACTTGATCATTGCAACTAGATGGCTCTGTTAATTGCTGGATAATTTTCATCTACCGGATCATAAGAGGATTAATTGTTGTTAAATTAACAACAATCAACAATACCCAAAGTAACAGTAAACCCATTGTAATTAAAAACGAAAACAAATATAAACAATTAACCAAGAACAACCAAATTGATTGTTATTAAGTTTTACTTTTTCTAGTGATTAAAAGTCTTGATTAATTTACAAGAAAATAAAAAGAATCAACAATTAACAAAACTGTCCTTTTATTTCATATATTCGGGTATTCAGATGAATGATGGGAAAGCGATGATTATTGTTACAATTAGGGTTAAAAGTGAGGCCATTAATCGTGGTGAGTATACAAAATAACCTTCAAATGAATAGCCAACATCCTCCCGACCAATTCTGTCCAAAAAAAGGCCAATCTTTAAATGAAAAATTAGAAATTTTTATTGATAACTTTAGAGAAACGATATATAAAATAACCTTTCGAACCTTCAACTTTACCTCTGATAAATATTCGGCATCTTTTGATATAAGCTTTTACAATAGACGATATCATAGATCGAAGCGGCTTCAACATTTATACCGATTATGTATCGATTGGTATAAACTATTATGAGGGCTACAGAAAGATCAAGTGTACCTAGAACAGAGTAACGGTAAATGTCAACTGGGCCAGAAATTATGTCATAGAAGACGACGATTCCGAAAATATTGATTATCGGATAGAAGAAGGTCAAAAAACGGCACCAAATTTTATTGGAAATATTGGTTAGGTCAATTGTGTCCGAATACTTTTGCCGATACTTGGTTAGGTGTTTATTTGTCCAAGTTGACCGTGAATGTGATTTAATTTTATCACCAATCAATTTGAATAATGATCTTATTACCATTGAACTAGAACAAAGTGAATAGATTTTTGAATATCCAAGAATAGGAATTAAAAGATAATTGAAAATATGAACCATTTGAACAACGGAGCTGATTAAACTCTGATCTTCAAGTTTATTTGTGCCGATTTGATAAATGAAAATAGCCGAATCCATTGTCCATGTGATGATGACCACTGAAACTACAAAGTTAATCTCATGGCTCATCTTATTGAATTTACTTCTAGAAAATCCTGAACCATATTCACAGAGACCAAGTTGTGAACATTTACTTTCGAAGTGAGTAAAATCAGTTTTGTACTTGAAACAGGCAAAAATTGTAGCCCCAAGGGTAATATCGGCAAACAAATGGATGACCATTATTTGCCAATGTCCAGTTATTAGAGGTGAAGTGTCCGGTGCTGGTTCCACTCCGAAGAGTATGAGAAAACTATGTACCACATTGAAACAAAAGATGAGCACACTGATTGGCAATAATATGAATGAATATTCATCAAGAAAACCTGATACCCTTGGGGCATTGAAATAATTAACAATCGATGTTAACTGATGCCGATCAATTGAATTTTCATCAATTTTCATTGTGAAAATTTTACCTGATGATTTACCTGAGTTTCTCATGGTAATACACATTCAGGGTGAAATCTTCTATCTCATGATCAACAAAAGTTAATTATAACCACAATTTGGATTGACTTGATTTCTGAAAATAACAATCAATTGATCCAATTTACTAATGAATTTCAAACTCAATTTTAATCTCTTCCAATAATTATCATTGTCTTTATTATTAAGAAAAGTGGGTTGGATGTTTAATATTGATTGTTGTACATATAATTTTCCTTAGCAAATCAATATGATCATCTTATTGCCTGACAATCAGATCAAATAATTGTATCAATGAAATTTAATTGCTTGTTTATGTTGAAAAATAAAACCTTTTTTATTCATGATTAACTCATAATCTTTGTTTTTTTATGTCATGAATTCATATATCAACTTGAGTACATTGATAATATTTGATAATTGAGTTGATCATGTTATGACGTGATTAATTGTCAACTCTGCTATTTTATGAATGATGGGAAAGCGATGATTATTGTTACAATTAGGGTTAAAAGTGAGGCCATTAATCGTGGCGAGTACACAAAATAACCTTCAAATGAATAGCCAACATCCTCTCGACCGATTCTGTCCAAAAAAAGGCCAATCTTGAATGTAGAAAGTTGTAAATGATTGTACATTATTGTATTAGAACTTTTTTTGTATCGAGTTCGAAATATTGAAAGTCTCACCTCTGATAAATATTCAGCATTTTGTTGATATAGACTTTTACAATAAACGATATCATAGATCGAAGTGGCTTCAACATTTATACCAATTATGTATCGATTGGTATAGATAATCACAACAGCAAAGGTAAGGTCAAGTATACCTAGAACAAGGTAACGGAAAATGTCAACGGGACCAGAGATTATGTAGTAAAGGGTTAATATCGCAAAAATATTTACGAGAGGGTAAAAGAAGGATAAATGTCGAGACCAAATATCATTAGATGCATTGGTCAGTTCGATTGTTGTACTGAACATTTTTCGGTAATATGTTAGTTCGTCAGTTGTCCAGGTCATTTCGGTGTGAATTTTAATCTTTTGGCCAATTAGCTTAAAAAGTGACCTTATTATCATAGATGAACCAAACAAAAGGTAAAACTTGTGAGCAGGTAGTAAAGGTAAACAAATAAAGGTCATCATATGAAGTGTAATAATCAAATTGTCAATTGTAAGCACAGAATCAGTTGGTAGATTGACCAACATCACCCAAAGGGAAGTTGAAACGCCAATCAGCCAAACGGTAAAACAAAGAGTTCCAACAATTTTCATCTCTTTGTCCATTTTGGATAAGATGTTGACCAGAAAAGGGTTTGAAGGGGACAATCGAAGTGCTAACCATTTGACCTCAAATTGAGTGAAATCAAGTGGATACCAGAAAGTAAAAATAACTGAAAAGGTCAACAAAATATCTGCCGATATCAGCATAATCAAATTAGACGAAGGTCCAATTAATAACGGAAATGAATCAATTACTGACCGATAGCCAGTGATCATCAAAAGGTCGTGGGTAAGGTTGAAACAAATTGATAACAAACATATTGGTACTAAAAGGAAACGCCAATGGTCATGGAAACGGCTGATTGATTGAGGTTGAATTTGATCAACAATCGATTGAGTTGATTGCTGTTCAAACGGATAATTGTAACAAGATTGAAAATAATTATCACCAATTAAGAATCTGGTTGAAGGACTGATTGACTTTCTCATATTAACCATCATTCAAGTTAACTGTCAATATGATTAAGAATTTAATCTCAAACAATTAAGAGCATGTTGACAATGAGGCATTTAAAAAAAATCTCATTGATTTTTATTTTTAATTGTTAACCAACATTTTATTGAAGGGCAAGTTAATCAAAAGTTTGCATGATTGTATTAACTTAACCAATGATCAAACCACGCAATCATAATCTCAATAACCTACAATTAACTGATTGTCAATGGTAATTTTAGAGTTGATTAACTGTTATTATCTTCTAACAATTTGAATATTTGACAATCTAATGATAATAATTTATGATTTTGCAATTGGATGCAAGACAACAATTAACCATTTAACTTTTGACTTTCCCTAACAAAATTCAGCTATTAAATGAGCTACTTTTTTTCCGAGTTCATGATAACAATCAACTAATCATTAAGATTAAATACCAATTTGATTAATCAAATGCTCATCAAGTTAATCAGTTTGTTGGTTGAAACGTTTTTCATTTCATGATGAAATCAATAGTAACTTTTATATGATCGGGATAGTAACATGATAGTTTCCGTAGTTATTAATAAATGTCATCATTCAATGAATAAGGAAGCAGAAAATTTATCAATTCCAGATAAATAAAGCCATCATCATCATCATCATCCTGAATCAGAACTTGAATCAGAACTGAATCATCAGACTTGATAAGTAAAGATCATGATGAGATAATGATAAACGGAAATTCAAAGTCAATGCTCATACTTTTTCCTGTCAATTGATGAAGATAAAAATGATCACATAGCAAGGAGAAGCTCAGTTTATGATGATGATAATCATCATGAACACATACCCTGAATCAATGAGCACATTGAAAGTCACCAGCCTGCAAATGATAACCCAAACTTGATGAGAAAAAGTTGTGAACAAAAAAAAATAAAATCAAGAAAAAAAATGAACTTCTAACCTGTTAAGGTAAGAGTTCAGGTTCATACACGATTTCATGAGATAACCTCTTGTTAATTTCTGATGATGAACTTTTTTTTGTCATCACCATGATCATCATGATCATCCTTATATTGTTAATAATAATAATAGGTAATAATTTTTCATTTTTTTCCATTTTCAATTCAATTCCTTTGACTCAATTACCCTTAGGGCAATAATATCATGTTCAGATTGTGAGCATTCAGATTCTTCATGTAGGTAAACTGATATATATATATATATCATGTCATCAGAAATTTCAATCACATACCTGATTACAATCAGAGGCCTCAGGAATCAGGATGTTGATTCATCATGATGATGAATCATCTTGGTCCTTTTTTTTAATAAATTAAATTGACAATTGTAATAATTGAATGGTATCAATTTTGTTTCTCATTGAAATATTGAAATAATCATCATATTAATCAACATATCATATATTCATTGTTATGTATTAAATGATTATAATAGTTGATCATGATAATCAATCAATTGGCTTTTTCATTTGAATTGATTAATCTTAATAACTTCCTGATTTAATCAATAAGTCTCATTGATTAACCATGACTATTATACTTTTTTTTGCTGGTATTGTGTAATTAACTTGACCATTCACATTGTATTTTGATGACCATCATGGTGATTGTTATTATTATCATAATCTTGAATGTGTGAACCTTAATTAAATTGTTATTGTCCTCCGATTCAATTTGAATGAATTAATCGTCAAGTTGATTATTCTGATAATGATAATGATGATGAAAAGAAAATGTAATTAAGTCAAATACCTACAACACTCACTCACTTTACTATTTAATTGATTAAATTTAGATATATGTTAATGAATTTACTGAATTATTATTAATATGATTTATTAATTGTTAAAGACAATTTATTATTTAGATGTAACCATGAAAATCTCATGAGAATGTGTTGAACTTTTTTTTTTGTTCAAAGTTAGTTAATTGTTAACAGAGTTACGATAACAATGATAAAACCATAGGTTGATTTAAGGTGATAAATGAGTTGATTTAATTGATCAACAACCGAATCAACAATCAACTCAAAGTTTATCATTCTCTTAATCATCATCATCGCCCAATCTAAATGATAATAAACAGTTAAATTAATTTGATGAGAATTTAGATATGAATATGAATATTTAATTGAGGAAAGAAAAAACAATCTAATGATGAACAATTAATTCCCAGGTTATGATTAACTGTATAAGGCGAATGATGTTCATTGATAATCTTAATTGTTAATAGAGTAAAAATTGTATAATCATTAACATCAGCAATTTAAAGTAATTTAATCTCACTAATTACCTTTAGGGTGAATCTTTATTATATATCAATGGTACAATTACACTTCGATGAGCATTAGAACTTTCTCTCTCTCTCTCTCTCTCTCTCTCTCATTCATAATATCTTTGTTTTCATGATGAATATTCTGAATCAATGGAGCTCATATTTATATCCAAAGGAAATGAATTTACATGTAATAGGTTTCAAGGAATTGTAACTATTAACAATGAACCAAATATATGTACACTAATTAACTACGATTGTGAGTCGAAACTTTTTTTTCGAGAAAAAAAAACTTTCGCTCCACTGATTTAGATTGTGATTAAATAAATTATTATATCTTCACAATACAATTTATTAACTATTGTTATGAGAAATTGTGGCTTCGATTGATTGTTCGAGGTTTAATTGTTACCGGTAGAGAGAAAGAGTAAGTTGGTTAGGAAGAAGAAAAAGTTTTCGAATTAATTTTATGTTAAAAGTTTCGATTTTCATTTAATTTTACCGTTCGAAAAGTTAATTGTTGAACTTAAACTTAAACTCTTGTTCCAATTTCTGAGAGGATTTGTGGTGAAATCTGTTGGAATATTTTCCTACTAATGTTTTACTTTTGATCGATTAGTTCGAAGAGTTAGAACAAATTTGTCGAGTTTTCGAGAAAATCGATTATTCGACTGTCAGTTAGATTGTGCCATCTATTGAGAGCTCGAATCAACTTTACCAAAAATAGTTTTTCTTTCTCAATGTTCAACAGATTCAACAAAAGTTCAGAATGAAATCAGCATCAGATGGATGAAGATGTCCAACGATAACTGATTAATACATAACTCTTATAACTAAAAGGTCAATGGAAGTGACCATCTAGAAAAAAAAGCGTTAACATGTCATCATTAGGCTTAGGATTTGACAAATTATCTTCTGAACATGTTTCTCTATCATCATCATCATCCGCATCAGTATCAGAATCAGCATCTTTATCATCCCCACCAAATTCAACGACAACATTGATATTAAACTTAACCAATTTAACGTTAACCGCAAGTGACCTACTCGATAAGATTAATTTAACTTTCTCCGATCTGGTTGATATTGCCTATGGCATAAAAGTGCTCGAACCAAGTGTAAATCTATCATCAATATTACCTTGTTGGACATCATCTTCCTCTACACCATCATCATCATCATCATCATCATCCTCATCCTCATTATCGTCTTCCTTTTCTACTTCATCTTCTTTAGCCTTGAATAATCAATTTCGTCCAATTTCAAATGTATCTTCGATCAATTATCTTCCACCCGAACTGGACAATTGTGCATCAGTGATTTACAATTTTTCTTCTTATTTGATGGACAATGAGTTAAATCTAATAAATTATAATAATATTGCAAATAGAATTGATAATCCACCATCAATATCAACACCACCTCTTGTCCATCACCATCATCATTCAGTTGAGGGTGATAATAGTTCCCTTTGGCCTAAAGATGATACTATCAAATCAGATAAAGTTTACTGGGCTTTATGTCTTGTTTTACTCCCATTTCTTGCCGTTTTTGGTAACATTCTGGTCATTCTTGCTGTTTACAAGGAGAAATCCCTTCAAACTGTGACCAATTATTTTATCGTTAGTCTTGCATTTGCTGATCTTCTTGTTGCTGGAGTTGTTATGCCTTTTGCTGTCTATTATTTGGTAAGTTTACGATTCGTTTATCTATCGTAACTGTTTGATTAATATTCATTATAATACATAAGCAAGTTGGAGTAAAAGTTTTCATACGATAAAAACAAAAGAAATAACAATTTTACCTTAAATTTCAAAGAGCATCGGATAGGAAGAACACCCTGAATTACTATTTGAAAAGAAAAGAAAAGAAAACGAAATTCTGTAAAAATATTACTAGAAATGTTCAAGTTGACTCATCTTTTTTTCCTCTAATTTTTTTCTACATAAGTTTCCACCTTCTCCATGAAGTTTAGCTCGAAAGTTTCAATAATCTAAACAGAACTGAAATTTTCAGCTTACCTCATGAAATTTCAGTTATCATAAATTCATATTTCAATTGAAATTCTCTTGAATCAATCAAGTCTATTCAAGTTTAACCAACATGATTATCATTCATTTTCTTTACAAATTCAACTTGGATTCACTTTCTCATGAAATTATTGAATATAAATTCAGTGGTCAATATGAATGTGAAATTAACCATGTAATCAGCTTATCCATTAGTTAGTCCAAATTAAAATGCTGATTTGGTAAATTGTTTTCATTTCATTTAATCTAATTAACTTTAATCAGAAAGTATATTAAATTATATAATAAGTAACAATTGATAATTTCTGATGAACAAAAAAAAGGCAACAACAATTAAGTTAATTTCCTTCAATGTTGATAATCCCATATTCTGGTTAATTTGAATTATCAAAAATCGTTGTCACAATTAAATGATAACAATGAATTAGTTGTTGCTGAGTAATCTAATTTTTGTTTTCTGTTACTATTACAATTTAACCTGTGAAAGATTCACAATTAACTATAATCAAGGATAATTTTGATTAAATCATGTTGAAACTATTCAGTTGTAACTTGACTGATGAATTCCCATTGATGATAATAACAATACTTTATATATATTATAATATAATATTTTTACCATCGGAAAAAATTACGATTATCATGATGATGATAAAATTTAATGACAAGGCAATGAGTTTAAGGAAAAGCAAGCAAAATGATTCAATTAACTTCAACTCCATCATGATTATACTATTATCATGAATGAATCTCATGCTGGTGATAATAATTATAACCACAATGAATACAGAACTCATTTTCTCAATTCTTAACATCAGGATAAAGTGTAAAAATAATAACAATATCTGTTAACTTATTTTCAACTTTCATATTATTATTATAAAAAAAAGTTTAAGGTTATTACCTTGAATAATATGAATCATGGAGACTGAATTATTCAGTAACCTATTCATGATATTGAATTTCTCTCTCTCTCTCTCTCTACCTTTTTAATGATAATGATGGATTCCTATGTTAATATAATTGATTATAATGATAATCATCTTTATACACTTGAATGGAAATCATATTGAACTGATTTTCATCAGGTGAAAACTTTGAACTTTTTGCTTCCTTTATCATGAAATTTACCCTGATTAATATTATTATATAACAAAAACGGATTTACCTTTTTGTTTGAATTTATTTTATAAACGAATGAGTAAAAAAAATTAATGTTCAGTTTAAATAATACAACTTTATCTTCATGATGATGATAATTCCCATCTCATGAAACTTGAATCCTTGGTGATGAAATTTTACTCATTGATTAAAATTTCACCTTTTCTGAGCAGAGAACTTTTTTTTATTATTCTTCTATTAGAACTTTATCTTCCTTTCTTCCTGTTTATCATGTTTATTAATATTAACATTGTATAAATAAATTGAAGATTCCAATGAATATCATGGATATCATGAACATGATGATGAAGATTTCAAAGTATTTGTGATAGTTTATCATTAACTGAATATCAGAAAGGAAAATGAATTAAATAATAGTCATGATAGTAGAGTTGATTAACAAATAGATCCATTAATCTTGATTTGATTAATGACTTCTAATGATTTTTAATATATGTTAACTAACAGAAATTAATACAATTATGATTAACTTATTTCACTTAAATCATGCAAATGATAATTAACTGGTGATAATGGTGATAATATTGATGATTATTATTCAATTATATTTGAATTCTAATATCAATTTAGCGAGAAAACTATTGATTATATCATGAATGAATGAATGAATGAATGAATGAATGAATGAAAATTAATTTCAAATTATTAATTGAATTGGCAAATTTATCTTTGAATACCTTAGTTAGTTAATTGTTAGTCATTTCAATGAATCTTTGTGATTGAAAACGATGATGTGAGGTGAGAAATTTATTTCAATTCAAAATGGAAGAACCAAAATAAACTAAGAAGCGATATCTTTAAAAGATATAAACACAAGAGTTCAGGAGATTAATCTGCTCACTACAGAAACCAAGATTCTTTCAGGATCTTCTTCTTCGGAGATTAATTACTCTATTAATAAGTAATTAGAGATCACTAAGTGATGAGAATTGTGAATAGTTGAAATGTGAGGAACACGGAAATAGTTAAACTATTAGGTTTTATTGAAATTGAACAAAATTGAAAATGAGAACACAAGGTAACAAGAAGAGCACTAATGTGATTACTTTGAAAGTAGAATTAGAACTGAAGAGTTACAATGGTAAACATTAAGATTTCTTAGAAATAAAAAACGGGGGAAACTTAAAGTGAAATTAAACTTGATTAATCGAATTGGGGGAATAACATAATAGTGTTAATACTAATCCAAAAGAGATGATGAGTTTGTCATCTTTACCATTTATGGTTAACAATATTGTTAAGGGTTGAAGATAACACTAAGTGTTCACCATTGTTAATCTCTTAGGCTTGAAAAAGCGTTAACAATAAAGAAAGAGGAGAAAGAGTAAAATAGACAGAAAAGATTCTCTTTCCTTATTGACCAAGATTTTGGTAACTTAAAAAGAGACATCTTTAGATGTAAAAGTGACAATTGAATCAGTTAATTGTTCTGGTTAGAACTTAGAAATCATTCAATGATCAATTACATATCTAAGATATAATAAAGGAAAGGTTTACAAAGTTCAGGTAAATGAAAATTAAAGATAAATTGAAAACAAGAATAAGCATAATTAAGCTGAATGAGCTTTGGAAGAGTTAATGAAATGAAATAAGAAAAATGGAGGGAAACAAATCACTGAGTGATTCAAATATGAGGGTTAATTGGGTTTCCGATTTTTCTACCCTTCAGTCTCCACGGTTAAAATGGAGTACCCTCATTAAGACGGCATTTTGAATCCTTCCTGGTGGACTTTGTTGAACGACATTATTCTGTCCTACGGGGTAAAATAAATCTCTACGAATTTGAGATGACGGGAATTCGGAAGTAGCATCAGAGGGACGGGATGAATCTAGAGATTCAAATGATTGTCTGGATTCCTGGGTTGAGAGTAATTCTTGAGTTGAATTGAATCGTTCAGATGAATTATTGGGATTAGATGGTGGGTTAGAAGTTGTAGATAGAAGTTCATCTTGGAATAAGTTCATCTCTGAGAGATTTTCGTCCGATCGGGTGTTCAGAGTGAAGTTTGATGATCTTTGGGAAGATGATTGTTCAGGAATTAGAGGATCAGGTAAATTTGGATCAGGATTACCATCGATAATGAAACGAACAGTTGATGGTAGGGAATTAGTAGGCATCGATACAATGGATGAATCATTAGTAGATGATTCTTTGATTGAATTAGGGTTTTGATTTGGTGAGCTGATGGTTCCTTTTGAAGAGGAATGAGTATTTTTGGTTGATGATGGTGATGGTGTTGATGATGAAGATGGAGAGACACAAGAAAATTGATCATAACTTGGAATTGTCTCATGATGATGAAAATATGACCAGTTTGGTGGCCAATTAGCCTTTTTAGAGGCGACAAGATTAGAGTAAATTTGATGAAGATGAGAAACTTTTGAGTTTCTAAGATAATATTTCAGAGCTTGATTGTGTATTCCTTGACCAGTTTCAGCGACTTTCGATTCAATTTCTTGCCAGAATCCCATGTATAATCGCATGGCTGTCAGAGCTTCAACGGCGGGAGAATGTGGTCTGGATGAAATGGTGTAACCAGAAAAAATCAAGAATGAAATCAGGGAGAGGGAGGCAGGAGATGATCTGTATGGTGAGAAATAGATAGTTACATCTCGTAACTTTGGTCTTAAAATATCAATTTCGACTGAGGCAAATTGAAGTGATTGAAACAATGTCAAAAGACCAGCACCAACGATACACTTGGCTGAGGCCAAATAAGTGATCACTTGATCTCTAACAGATCCAAGATTTTTACCAAATTTAATATCTTCGATACGAAGCCCGTGATATTTGGTGTCCATGTAATCGACTGAAACATAATGGATAAGAGTTTCATATACGATTTCACAATTTCCATCGATAATCACAATCCATACTGGATGTGGGGCGAAACGATTTCACCGGATGAATTAGATCTTCGATTTCTAACATAAGCGGCATGTATTGAGTAGACATTTAATTTATCAGGATTATCGTCCATATTATCCTTAATCAATTGTTGATGTTTGAATTTAAGATCTTCGATCTCAAAATATAATATGGTTGAATATATTGGTGGCTTTATTTCGTCTATTAGCTCTTTGAATGAGCTTTTGGGGTCAGTGGTTGTTGGAGTAACTTCGGTTTCAGAGAATTCTCAATGAAATGGAAACCAATTGTTAATTGATTGTCGAACATTTTCTTGTTCTTCATCACTTAGACGTGAGAGAGGATTAATTTTAATAAATGGATTGATTCGACCACCAGTATCATGGGATGTCGATAGTGAACTGAGAGGTCGGTTGAATTCATATCTACCTTGAGATAATCTCAACCATTCTTCACTATCATCGAGAAGATACTTTGGAACTTTTGACCATTTAATGGTTCGTGGTCGAGAGGGAGCGGGATCATATTTGTGGATCGGTGGGAAGCCTAAGGCTTGAGTAAACTCTTCTTCTTCACTTAAAGGTTGAGTGGGATCTTTGGTTTTGGC